GGTTTTTTTTTTTTCTTTTGTGTGTGTTTGTGGGTGAATTAATTTGTTTATTTTTTTAGCTCCCACCAATAAGTGAGAACATGTGGTATTTCTTTTTCTCTGCCTGACTCGTTTCACTTAATATTATTCTTTCAAGGTCCATCCATGTTGTTGCAAATGGTAGTATTTCATTCGTTTTTATAGCTGAGTAGTATTCCATTGTGTAGATATACCACATTTTCCGTATCCACTCATCCGATGATGGACATTTGGGCTGATTCCAGCTCTTGGCTATTGTGAAGAGTGCTGCAATGAACATTGGGAAACAGGTATACCTTCGACTTGATGATTTCCATTCCTTTGGATATATTCCCAGCAGTGGGATAGCTGGGTCATATGGTAGATCTATCTTCAACTGTTTGAGGAACCTCCAAACCATTTTCCATAGGGGTTGCACCATTAAAATACTTTTAAAAAAACCTATTTAACTTGTTGGAGGTACCTCTTAAGACTGAATTAGTCCATTTTGGTTTTTTATAAGAAAATATCTGGAACTGGATAATTTATACAGAAAATGAAATACATTGCTTCCAGTTTCTGAGGCTGGAAAGTCCAAAGTCCATCTGGTGATGATGACAGTGACCCAGGGGTCTCACATTGCCAGATGGTGGAAGCATACCCCCAACCACCATTATTAATCCATTCACTAGGGCACGGTCCTACAATCCAGTCACCTCTTCAAGGCTCCACCTTTCAATCGCCATAATAGGATTTCCCACCTTCTTAATAGTCACAGTGGGGGCCAAGTTTCTAATACATAAAACTTGGGGACACAATTCAAGCATCAGTGAGTTGGGGGGGGGAGCATAGTTCAATCTGCTACAAGACTTTTCTTACCAAAAATGTGTTCTACAGCTAAGAAGATAATTAGCAAAATGACTTCTACAAACAGAGTTTTAGATTATACCATTTCATATTATTTCACTTCTGTGATATCCTTGTTCACACTACCTATAATTGATTCAATCAGCAAATACATATTGAGCATCAATAGCAGTAGGAAAGGAAACAGGTGAGATACAGGTGGGAATTCACTAGAATTCCTGGCTTTGAGAAATGTCTGATCGGATGGACGACTAGGACAAGTGCACAAATAAGAGGATCTGGCAAGCATCATAATAGACTTACACACAGAGTCACAGGAAGAGAGTCCTAGTTCTGCAGAGTCCAGGGTGACTTCATGGAAATGCTTTGGGGACACAGACTCTTCTCAGGTTTTAACAGATTATTCCCCTTTAAAAAGGAATGAAATCCTGACACATGCTACAATGTAAATGAACCTTGAAGACATTATGCTAAGTGAAGTAAGTCAGACACAAAAAAGACAAATATCACAAAACGTAGTCAAAGCCATAGAGACAGAAAGTAAAAGAGTGGTTACCAGGGGCTTGGAGGAAGGGGAACGGGGAGTTACTGTTTCATGTGTACAGTTTCTGTATGGATCATGAAAACGGTCTGGATGTGGCTGGTGACGGCGGTTACACGGCAGGGTGAATGTACTTAATGCTGCTGAATTGTGCACTTAAAAAATAGTTAGAATGGTAGATCTTATGTGTATTTTACCACATTAAAAAAAATACACCTCTTATCAGGAATGGAGCAAGTGGTTCTGATCTCAGACCTTCCTTAGTTTAACAGTGAGGACAATGACTTTATGTGCGTGCTTTAACTTTCCCTGCTGGGAACGGGCATTTGTGTGTCTTTCAGAGGGAAAGTAAAAGAGCATTTTAAAACCACTGGTCAGAGCCCTGTGTGAATGCACAGTATGGCGATTTTGTGTCTTCTTAAGTATAAAGCGTCCTTGATCATTCACCTTCCTATCTGGAATACCATCAACATAGAAAACGATTTGTGATGGGAATACCAAATGTGCCCTGGTCTTTTTTGCTCAGTATTCAGACTTAGAGGTTGTTTCTACATAGCATAAGTCACCTTAAGGAAAACACAAACATTCTATGAGATTGCCACACATGGGATTTTATGCAGTAAAAGGGCCAAAAAACTGGATATCAAGGAATGCCCATACTTTGGATGATGTTGTCTGGTTTCCATTCAACCATTAGTGATGAAAAAGAATCAAGTCAGGGGGAGCTTATCTCTGACTTATTTGACCATTTATAACACCAGGTGAACACTGTTGCTCCTCTGGGTTGGCCAGTGATGCTGTGACTTAAACAGGCATCTCCATGCTACCGTGGGAATGCACAAAGTGAACATAATTGCCACTAAGTCCCTTTGGTGCCACCTTTTGAGGAGGCTGCAGTAGAGGGAGCAGCACAGCCTAGTGGCCTGAGCACAGGCTGCTTCTCAGGAACAGGGTTCTTCAAGGCTGAGGCTCTTCAAATGACCTTCATGTAGCCTTGGGCATGCCACGTATAGGTGACTCAGAAAAGGTAATGAAAATATCACTATTTAATATTCCATTTCAAAACGTGGAAGAAGGAAAATAGAAACTATCAAACCTGTAAAATTGTCCTACTTGCTTTTATCTAATTCGAAAAAATATGTGTAAATCTACAGAAATAGTAACTCCATGGTTTAAAATAGAGACTTATTGACTAAAAGATAAGATGTAATAGTGTAGGTGAAAGTTAATGTTTCCAAAGGAAATAGGACCTTCACAAGATGATGTTATTTTATAAAAATTTGTAAGAATGCCAGCACAGTAGACTTATTGACTAAAAGATAAGATGTAATAGTGTAGGTGAAAGTTAATGTTTCCAAAAGAAATAGGACCTTCACAAGATGATGTTATTTTATAAAAATTTGTAAGAATGCCAGCACAGTAGTTGTTACCCAGGGAGCTGCTGAAAATGAAAGCAATGTTTCAAACAACAAATCAGAATTTTTTTTTTTTTTTAAATATCAGAGCAGAATACAAACCAGAGAAACTTCCTTCACATTCCTTTGAGGTTGACCATGAAGATGCTGATAAGGACGAGGCAAGTACATTGTCGAAAGTGAAATGTTTAAAACATGAGGACAATTAGTTCCTGTCTTGCACTAGAGCGTTTCACATTCTGAGCAGTTTTTCATAAGCTGCAGTAGCTGTTTGTGTTAGGGCATTTAGCCAAAATGAATCATGGGGGATTTGGGGGGGGTTTATTTTTAAATTGAACATAATTATTTAAGATGAGTCAAAAAGAGGAAAAGGGGTCTTGTTTTTGTGTGCAGTGTCTATGATCTGCGATCCACAAAGATGGCTGTCATGCTAATGATGCCTTTTGTACAGGACACCACGTCCCACTCATCCTCCAAGGGCGGTGGGGCAGCAGGAGGGACCGGCGTTTTCAAGTCTGGCTGGCTCTACAAGGGGAATTTTAACAGCACCGTCAACAATACCGTTACTGTTCGGGTAAGGAGACATCAAGGCTCATCTTTGTTTCTGTCACCTTTCTTGACATCCTCTCCTTTGGTCACAGCACAGAGCAGAGCCATTTGCATTGAGTTTATGTTTCATGTAATATTTTATTTAGGAGGAAGTAAGATGCTCTTCTCTAGAACGATGCCCTAGAAATATAGCACTCCGGAAGGAATTAGGAAAATTCTAATTTTCATGAGTAATACCACACTACAACTTAAACAACCTCTTTATATCTTTTTCTTTATTTAGTCATTCAAAAAGCGTTACTTCCAGCTGACACAGTTGCCAGATAACTCCTATATTATGAATTTTTACAAAGATGAAAAAATATCCAAAGAACCCAAAGGCTGCATTTTTTTGGATTCCTGTACAGGTGTGGTGCAGGTGAGTAGAAATTCCTTTTCCCCTTGGATTTCTTTTTTTAATTGAAAAGTGTGTTCAACAAATATTTTTAGGATGTCTGATATGAGCCAAGAACTGTTCCAGACTCGAAGGAGTCAGTGAAGAACAAGGCAGCCTAGATCTCTGCTTCCACAAAACTTACTTTCAAAAGAGAAAGAAAAACAGGAATAAGCAACAAAAATAAACAGAACATGAAATCAGTAAAATTTGCACTGAAGAAAATAAACAGGGTAACAGAGGGAGAGAGGTGAATGGTGAGGTTAGACAGGAACATTGATACTTGAGAAGTGAGAAAAGCATTTTTTGTGGAGTGAAATCAGTAAAATTTGCACTGAAGAAAATAAACAGGGTAACAGAAGGAGAGAGATGAATGGTGAGGTTAGACAGGAACATTGATACTTGAGAAGTGAGAAAAGCATTTTTTGTGGAGAGACCATTTGATCTGCAGGCTAAAGAATGAGCAGGGGCAGCAGGTGCAAAGGTCCTGAGGCAGAGCAAGTCTGATATATCCAAGGAGAAGAGGAAAATGACATATGTGGCTGCAATGTAGAGGTCCACTGAGCTAAAGAAATTCAGTAAGGTAATATATAAATCACCTAGCTCAAATTATGCACTTAATAAATGTTGTTTTTATAATTAGGTAATAATGAGATAGTAAATTTACAATGTGCATCCACTCATCTTTCTTTGAAGAGGAGGTTTTCTTCAAAGACAAGGGCTGCATTGATTCCCAAGAGTTTAATTTCAGAAACAGACATAGTGCTTTCAGCAGATAATGCTGTTCTGCAAGCTCTTGGTATTCAAATTATGGTCCTTACTGTTAAATTTGACATGGAACATAGTGGCAAAGGGAAGCAGAATAACCCCATAGACTCCACTTGAACATCTTAACATTAAAACCTTTATTCTTTCTACTCTGATGAAATAGCTATCCTTAATCCCTATTACGTAAAAATTGAAGCAATCAAGTGTTTTAACAATTTACCCTCAAATTTCACAATAAGACTCTGGCTCATTGAGGTTGAGGTCTCGGCTTCTGGTCACAAGCCACTAGAGCAGTACTTTCTGTTCCCACCAAGCCTCGGGTACTCACATAGCTTGTTTCATAGCTGACATTACGTCTGAGACCACTACTGGGGGCACTTGGATAAGTGGACACAAAATAGAGTCACTCAGTCCTGGCCTATTTCTGGACAGTTCATCTGTTAAAACCTGCAACTCCTCCAGAAAATAATAAGGCTGAACTTTAAAAGGGAAGAATTAATTAAGCGTTGCTGGACACTCCACTAGAATTGAAAGATAATTGCATTTTAACACGGATGCCAACTTTCCTTATGGAAAGGGCAATAAGGGTCTTAATGGAGGGTGGAGATAGTTTTCTATTGTTGGTCACAAAGAAGACTCCTTGGCCTTAGAAACAAAAAGTAAAAGTTTAGCAATAGATTAAAGATCAATAACTACATTTTATAGACACTGAGCTGAAAAATTTAAATATTTTCTTTTCCATTTGTACTTTAAGGCTCACTCTAGCAAGTGAGTAGTCATTTTATTCATTTTTTAACCTCTTCATCTCTCTAACTTAAATTGTGTTTCAGTCTCTGCTTAAACATTGTCTTGGAAAGAAAGAGTCTTGTGGGGGGAAACACGAGCTTGGGATTCATGAAGGTCAGCATTGAAATTCTAGTTTTGCCATTTACTATCTGAAGGCTTTGAGTGAGTGACTCAACCTCTTTGATCTCAGGGCTCTTGCCTGTAAGATTAGGATAAATGTGCTAACATGTGAAAAGGACTGGGAGATGGTATGTCATCAGTCTTTCTTCCCTGGTTCTCTCATTAATCACAAAGGTTACATCTTTGGGAGATAGACTTCCATTGTGGGAAAGCCTTTTTAGAAAATCTTGATGCATCTTTCTGAAATTTCTACCTAAAATGTGCTAATTAATTTATCTTTTTCTTTATTCCATTAATCCATTCAACAAACTTATTTAGTGCCTCTGACGTGCTAGGAACTGTGCCAGCATGGAGAATTCTTTGTTGAGGTCAAAGTTGGAGAAGAACTTAGCCACATACTCATTATTATACAATATTGCAAGAGCTATAACAGTGTTATGAATGGCAGAGTCCATGGAATGTTCTGAGAGTGCAGAACAGTAATGAACTCTTCTAGGTCAGGCTGCAAATCTGTACAGAAAAGCTGAGCCTATCTGTAGGATTCCTCAAGGTAGGTTTTGCGTGTGTATCTTTTAAAGGGTTCAGCTTGGTATCCCTGCATTTCTATTCCTCATTGTCAAGAACTTTTATCTAGTATCCTCTACATCCTTCATAAAGGCAGAAACCAGCTTCTGAGGTCCCTCAGCTTCTTGAGATCACTTTAGGGGGTAGACATGTGGGTCACATTTCACTGTGTGTGTAGGTCCCAGTTCGAACATATATGCTTTCAGCCTGTTCTGATTTGTAAGGCTTTACATCTGGAAAGAAGATTTTGAATGAGAAAGTGCAAATTTAGCCATTACTCTAGTAAGCTCTCGGGCACAAAATGTGCCTGGAGATGAATCACATACACACAAAAATACAGAGCAAGTGAATAACTAGAATGAGTCAGATCTGCTTTGTCAGGAATCACTGCCAGTTCCCCTTGAATAAAACAGAAAAGGGGAACAAAAGGCTTTGCCTCAGAAAGTTCCACCTACCATCTGACATTCTTAGGAAGTTCACGTTTATTACAATATTTAGTGAATATGCCGTTTTAGTTTGCTTCATTCATCCTCAGTCTATACCATTGTGTTTTCCTAAGAATAATTCTTGGAATTCTTAGACTTATATTACAAGGATGTCCTCAAGTAGAGAGAAACTTCAACCCAGATTTTTAAGAGACTTTAGGAGATGTTTATGATTGGTAATTTCCTGGATTTTGGTTAAAAAAAAAGGAGAGAGAGAACTAACTGTAGTTTTCCACTTTTTTGTACATCATCAAACAGTTTTAGATCCATTTTATAGGACTGCACTCCCATTCTGGAGCAAAACTTCCAGTTTATGGTGTTTCAGTTTTATCCTGGGACTAAGGGATATTTTGGTCTGTGTTATCCTATCTTGTTCTTTGAAAGATTTTTATTCATTCATTCATTCGTTCGTTCTTCCATCCATCTCTCCATCCATCCATGCCACTGTGGAAGCGAATGTATGGCCCAAGAATCCCATCTGTCTACAGTCCCTATGTCAACAGTGATAATGGCTGAGTTCGTTCTTCCATCCATCTCTCCATCCATCCATGCCACTGTGGAAGAGAATGTATGGCCCAAGAATCCCATCTGTCTACAGTCCCTATGTCAACAGTGATAATGGCTGATGTCACTTTGTACAGGCCTAAGTGGGGATAGTGGAATGCCAGACACTGTTCATTACCTCCTAGGTGCTAGGTCTACCACCATGTGAATATGGGTTCCAAGACAATGGCCTCATGTGTCAAAGGCTTGAAACTCAGATGCCTTCTGCAGGGCAGGCAGCCCACTGCATGAGTCATCTGGAGTGTGCATGCCCACATAAAGGCAGTGAAGTTGCAGGAGAGGTGGGGGAGAGGAGTGTGCCTTCCAAAACAAATCTAGAAGCCATATATGACCTGTAGCCCTCCCATTTGCAAACTCTGGCTCTAAATATCTCACTTCCTGTGATTATAACAACCAACATGATACTTGTAATTCTCTTTGTCTAATATATTATTTGACAGCAGTTGATGGGACATGCATTATTTTCTTCCATTTATTAAAATAAAACTCAGAAAGATAGAGTGACTTTGCCAAGTCACAATGCTAATAAATGGCAAAATTATATTTGAGGCACAGGAAAGTCCAAAGTTACAGAAAGATACCCAAGGAAATGCTGTATTTATCATACATAAAGTGGGCATACCCACATACATACATTGATCCTACACAAGCCACTAGGGCTGAAGAAACACTGCAAAAATAGGCTCAGATGCAGTTTTAAGTAGTGAGCTTTAGAGGTAGGATTCATTTCAGGCAAATATATATTTGAAAACCTGTGATGTGCAAAGCATTGTGGAAAAGCCAAATATGAACATAAATACAGCTCCTGTCTTCAAAGAGCTTTGAGCCTGTGGATGCACAGAAAAAAACCAAACAAATATGACATGTGCAAATAAAACATGGGTGACACACCCCCTACAGTAAGTTCTGATAACAAATGCATGAGTGAAATTACATTTATCACTGCAAGATGCTATATTATATTATACATGTATATATACTACATATGTTACATTTCTTCTTTTTTATTTACTGATACTCCATTGCACTAGAATGTAAACTCAATGAGGGAAAGCACTTTACTTGAATTTTTTTCAATGCTGTTTTACTTGCATGCAGGAAGTACACAATAATTTTTTTTTGAATGAATGAACAAATAAACTTGCAGAGAAAGGAAAAAATTGCATGGATGGCAGCAACCAATACCAATAACCTGAATTTAACATTGAGTGTTTCATTTTAGAAATCTTCTTTTGTTCCTGCAAAATTCTGTAAAAGATACTAGCAGCATGGTAGGTAAAACAGAATAATTTGTTTGGGTAACTTCCTTCTTAAATATTCAGTCTTACATTGACTTCAGTGGTTTTCTTGGAGTACCTATAATTTGGAACTTTTCCAAATGAATACTGTGGAGGCAGACCAGTTTGCCAGAACTCATTAAACACATCCGATGGTAGGACATATTGACAGTTTCCTGTTATTTATGAACTCATGTGGATGGACTGTGGTGAGCTTGACTGAACCAAGTTGTTACACTGGCTGCAAAGGACACTGATTTAAGGAAAATAGATGAAAGTTTGGGGAGTGAAAGATGAATATGATTACTTCTTGATTACTATTTTAATGACTTAACAATTGCTCTTCAAGATTATTAAAATGTCCTATTGATTTTCTACTTTTGTCCTTTCTTTTTCACCATTCGATAGGCCATTATCTTCAAGATTACAGAGAATGAGATAAAAAACCACTCAGGCATGTTAATCTTTCTCAACATAAGATTCTCTGCACTGCAAGTAGTTCTATTTTTCTCAAAATAGAAAAGATAATTCAGTTTTTGAGAAGTTACAAATGGAATATTTATTTCACTCCTAAATGTTCCTTTTTGAGGAACAAGGGCTTGTTAAACATTGCTTAAATGTTTTAAAAGTATTTTTAATAATATTGTTGAAGCCAGCAACCATATTCAATTCAATTGAAGTATGAAATGCAATTTTGAAAATCAACTTTTGTTTATAATTTGTAATGTTTTATTTCTAAAATTGTATTAGTTTGGGGCATCTGCATTTGCAAGCAGGTTGCAGCTTGATCCACTTTTAATTTTGAACCAATATGAGCATTTTACATAGCTTTGCATCTCCCTGTCCACGTTGCTTTCAGCAGCAGATTACTCAAGCGGAGTCTTTCCTTTGTTTCAAGACAACACTGAGATTTGCTTGCATTCTGCTGTATTCAGATACTTAACAATATCCTAGCAAAAGTTATGCCCTAAACTCTGGGCATTTTTAGTACTTTTCTGAGTGTCTGCTTTTACTCCTGTTGTTTTTTAAAAGAAAATGGTACTGTAATAGAAAGCCTGTCGCTCCTTTTATACCTTGTCCTTGCCCTTTACCCTCTGCATCAACAAAGTCAAAGTCACAGACCTCCCTCCTTAGATTCTCCCAGAAGTATGTATGAGGGTATAAAAAGGGAGTCTGCCCTACTCCTCCTGGGAAGACCCTAGCATCTAGGAATTTGCATTCTTAAACAAGCTGCCTGGATGTTTGCTTTGCTCACTAAAGTTTGAGGCAACTGTCTTTCTGGCTGCTACACACACACACACACACACACACACACACACACACACACACACCGTTTACACTATAGCCAAAATGGTTTTCTCAAAATGCAACTTGTGCAAATCATTAACTTGGCCAAATCACTCTATTTTATTCTTGGTAACTCGTCTTCAAAATATTTACACAAAACTTAAGCACATTTATTTTTCAGTTTCACGTTTGTATGATTAAATGATGAACACCTGTCTCCCCCATTCTGCAAGCGCAGAAACTGTTTTCGCCCGGCGCAAAATGCACACATGACAGACACCGCTTTTGCGAATGAATGATATCACAGCAGTAAGCACTGAGGATTTAAAAGTTAGCTTCTGCCCTTATGAGACTTGTGGACTATTAAAGAGCCAGATGTTCTACTGAATTGTTACAAGGCAAAGAAATATATAATACTTGACAAAAATATAAATGTGAAGACAGGAGCAAAGAGCTTGTCCTTGGAATGGTCTAGAAAGTAACACCTGAGCTGTGAAGTTAGCTGAGAACAGTTGGCTTTTTTTAGCTAATTCTTTTTTCTCCTTCAATTCCTGAATTTTACTTTTTCTCAAGTCTTACGTGTTGCTCTGCTGTGTATTTTTCATGCACTTAGACAAACTATGACTCCCCAGCCCACAGCTCCCTCTTCAGTGTAGGATGGCTCCAGAGCAATGGTAAGGAAGAACAGCAACCAGTGAGCACCTCCAATGTTCCCAGGCCCTTGCAATGCATGGGTTAGCTCAGCAGGTGGGATTAAGAATACAAGTGTTGAAGTACAAAAGGGTTATTTTCCCTTCTCTGCCACTTGCTATGTATGTAATCCCAAGCACATTTTAACTAATCTTCCCAAGCCTCAATTCTATCATATGTTAAATGGACTAATACAGTTTGTCTCATAGGGTTGTTATGAGATTTAAATAAAATAATGGCTGAAAAATGCTTAAGCACAGAACCTACTATATAGTACAAGTGTTTTTAAGTGTCGTATTTGTAGTAGTAATTGTGCTGTTGTAGAAGTTGAAAGAAACAAACTATCTTGGAACAGTCTATGAGAGCATTCCAAAGAAAAAGAATGCCTAGAAGATGTTAAATTTTTTTTCTTGCCACCAAAAAGTAGCAATCCAATCCAGTTCTCAAAAAGTGTTTTATACCTTGATGTTTAGCCACAACCCCACATCATCATGAGGTGATGCTGTCATCTTAGGATTCTTCTTCTATTTGTGTATTAATAGAGTTAGCCTAAGTGTTAGGTTGTGCTTTATTAAAATTATGAATGCTCTACAGGCTTTAGTACAGTGTGGATAAAAGAAGAACACCTGCATCAGAATTACCCAGGAGTTAATTAAAGATGGATTCTTAAACCACCCCAGGTTACATAACACTAGTTTGTATGATTGGGAGTTTCCACTTCGAATTTACATTTCTAAAATCATGGTGGGAATATATAAAACTGTTGTAACAATTTAAAATGACCATCCCCAATCTTCTTACAGATTTCAACCTAGATGTTGCTTTCTGTGAAAGGCATGCTTTGAACACCCAATCTTAAGTAGCTACTCATCACTTCAGTCCATTTTAATTCTTTAAACAACATAGAATCTGTTTTTCAATTGTTTGTTCAATCCTTCAATGATTTATTCATTCATTCACCTCTTCCCAACTAGAATGTCAGTTCCCCAAGAATAGGAACCTATCCTTTTTCATTTGTAAAATGTGACTGTTTTTAAACCCACTGTTATTAAATCCTTCTTATGTCTCGGCACTATTACAGGATACGGTGGTTAGCAAAACTGGCCCAGAACCTTATGGGCGTAGCCTTGAGGGAGATAGAAATTTGTCAAAACAAACAAAAATGAATAAGCATATAATTCTAAATTGTTGTAAGTGGCCTATAGGACAAGAACCTTGTCCTAGACTGGGGAATTGAGGATGGTCCCAGCTGAGATCTGAAGAGCACAAGTCACATAAGTACATGAAAAGCAAACATCCCACTCACTGTGTTTGCAAGAGCACATGTGGGGTGGGGGAGGAGCTGTTTTAGGCCTATGACAACAACAAGGCATGGGACAGGAGCACATCCAGGGAACTAAAGCAAGTCCCCGTGGGTTGGTCATAAAAGGCAAAGTAGAGATGTGAAATTAGAGAAGAGTCTGGAGGTTGGTGCAGAAGCGAGAGCCAGGAGAGGAATTGGGACAACATTGCACATAGATGTCACTTAAAACCATTGGACTAAATGAGAGAAAAAGGGGAGAAAGGGATCTAAGACAGAGACAGGATTATCATTAGAAGTCACCAGAAGGAAGAGCCAACAGAGGTGATTGAAAAGTTGTGGCCAATGAGGGAAAAAGAAAACCAGAATAGATATTATGGAAACCAGAGAAAGGTGAATTTCAAGAAGGAGGAAGTGGCCACCATGTTAATCTGCTGAAAGGTCAAGGAAGATGCAAAGAAAGAAATGTCCCTTGGATAGTATGGCAACATAGAGCTTGTTAGTGACCTTGGCAAGTGCTGCCTCTGGGGCATGATGGGGTTGGAAGCCCAACTGGAGTGAATTGCAGACAGAATGTGCAGTGGGAAAATGAAGGCAGAAACTCAAAGCAACTATTTAAAGAAGGTTAAAATATATTCACATGTGCCTGAAGATGAAATTTTTGAGCCAACATGCCCATCCGATAAAACAATTAAATAAAATATTTCTTAGTACAAAAAGCTGTGAAAGAAATCAAACAAAAATGATTCATACCCATCTAAAATTTTGTCCTGTTTTGGAAGGTGTGTTTCATTACCTACCTGTATGGAAAGACTGTGGAACCCCAATCCCATAAAAACGTCTCTCATTCTCTAGGACTTATTAACTGGTATTCTTTTTTCTCCTTTCTTTTTATACCACAGAATAACAGACTAAGAAAATACGCCTTTGAATTGAAAATGAATGACCTGACCTATTTTGTGCTGGCAGCTGAAACAGAGTCAGATATGGACGAATGGATCCACACCCTCAACCGCATCCTGCAGATCAGTCCTGAGGGGCCCCTGCAGGGGAGGAGGAGCACGGAGCTCACCGACCTGGGGCTGGGTGAGCACATGAGCCCACCTTCCTTCCGGTGCCCAGTGCGACCTGAGCTTTTGGTTCATTTAAGCCACTACTAATTGTGGTAGCTATCAGGTCTGGTTCGTCCACTTTTGAGCTATTTGCTTCAAGAAACCATCCCTAAATCTTTATTGATTAGTGATAGTCACCATACATAGGTATGATTTTGAGTTGACTGGCAATGATTTGAGGCTGGAACCCAGCAAATGACATTGGGAATTGTCAGTCGAATCAAAAATGTGCCTGTGTCTAGTGGGATGTTACCTTATGGGGGGATTTTGTGTTTTTTAGTCTTTCATTGCATTTAATTAATGAATCTTATACTCTATAAGAGAAAATATGGGTTACTTCCTTTGTGTTAAAAGGCATCTTTCATTTATGCTTTTTGACCATGGTGAGATTAGATCTTATGTGAGAGTTTCAAAATTGTGCATGGCAATAGAGATTTTTTTTTTTTTTTTTTTTGTCTTTTTCCGTGTCCGGCAACGGATCGCAACCCTCAGTGTCGCCCCCGTACCGGACCGGGACCGGCAACGGGATCGCAGCCCTCGGTGTTGCTCCCGCGCCTCGCTCAGCCAGTGAGCGGGAACCGGTCTGTATGTGGGATCCGAACCCTCAGCGGGAACGCCGCCGTGCTTCCCAAGCGGCACACTATAGCAGTGCGCCACCGGGCCGGCCCAGCAATAGAGATTTTTATAAGATAAAAAAATTTTCTTCTGCCCAGCCTAATTCCTTCATAAGATTCTAATTCATTCTAGGCAAAGAGAAGAGAGCAGGAGAAAGGAAAGGAAAGAAAGGGTGAAAAGATGGTGAAAAAAAAAAAAAAAAAAAAAAAAACAAGTCTATAGCCATGTAGAAGGCAAGTTCACCTATGGCAGAAAGAAAACTGTTTTAAGATATTTTGCTCAGCACATGGTACATTGGAAACCAAAGCATCTTTAAGTTCTAGTAGTCTACGTGTCATATGCCAGAAAGTGAAAGAGTCACAAGATAATAAGGGAGAAAACTTTGTTGATTTTAATACAACTACTATATGTCATAGTAGGAATTTTACATTCATAATTTAATTAACAGTAATCACCTACAGTATTAATGTTCAGAGTGTCTTACAGAGTTTAAGTAACTGAAGCTCAAAGGTAGGTTCTAAATTGATGGCCTGAAATTCAGAATTACCAAAAATATAGGCACATGCAAGAAAATTTCAGTATGCATTGATGAAGTAAGTCAAGACAACCCCAAGGATAAGTGTAGTGTTGCAAGGACCCAGTTCTTATGGGCACAGGATGGTATCATGGCAAGAATCCCAGAATGAGCATCGGGAGATCTGATTTCCAGGCCTAGATCACCTAACACTATGAAGTACCAGAGTCAGGGCAAAATGAAGGCTTAGGCTCACCAATGTCACTCTTAGCTCTTGAGTCTAACCCAGTTTCATATGTCACATGCTAGAAAAATGTGCGACTCATGAGTATTATTTAATAACCTGTCTTGATGTATCTTTTCAAGATTCGCTGGATAATTCTGTACCTTGTGAATGCACGCCAGAGGAAACAGATTCTTCAGAGAATAGCCTGCACCCAGACTTCGCAAAAGTAATAAAGTTGACATTGTACTGTGCAAATAAATTTGAGTTACATATTAGTTATTGCTTTCGTGGAAAAGATGGAAATGTTTTCTTTTATGTTTTAAACTAAGAAACTAATTCAGAACTTTCCATTAACCTAGTGTTTTACTTAACATGCACATAGTGTTTAAAAATAAAAGCATGCTTTTACATGATTTTCCAAGTGTTGATGAATGATATCAAAACAGTGATACTACTAAGGAGCTACTTCTTGGCCATATGAATGTGGCTGTGGCTGCATCTGGATGTTTAGACACCAAGAACTAACACAGTTTTCTCTGCAGTACCTCACAGAAACTGAAGATACTGTAAAAACAACTCGAAACATGGAAAGGCTAAATCTGTTCTCACTGGATCCAGATATAGATGTAAGTGGAAATTCTTTCTAAGCAAATATGAACTTGATCCATACAACTAGGGATTATAATTTAGAATTTCTTTTTATGATCGGTGTTCAGTAACTAAAATTTTCAAAACTTTTTTAGACCTTGAAACTTCAAAAAAAGGATCTTTTAGAACCTGATTTTGTGATCAAACCATTTGAAGAAAAAGCTGCCAAAAGAATCATGATCATTTGTAAAGCTCTCAACTTAAATCTTCAGGGATGTGTTACGGAGAATGAAAATGACCCGATAACAAATGTAAGTTTCTCTCCTGTTACGTCGTGTACCAATCAGCCAACAACATCACACTGCCTTAGTCAAGATCTTCTTATTCCTGCTGATTTCAGCCACTGATTTCACATCATCTGGTGTAACAGGGAGTATGATTGACATTTTTCCACATTACAAAAGCACATGAGTTCTGAGGTGGAATTGTCAATGTATTACCATAAGATTTTCCATTTAACTTAAAGAAGAAGCATCCAAGGGACTATGTTCTGGGAATCTTTCTTTAAAGTTAGCATAGTAGTTCAGAGTTTCCAAAGGTGGTGTTTGTTTCCTCTTAGTGGAACTCAAGATGGCTTTCAGGCCAACATTTTTATTTTCATATTTATATACTTATTGTCATGTGTGTTAGAAAAAAAAATCAAAGCTAACCAATCAACCCTGTGGCTTCACAGTTATTATTGCTTAGGACAACGCTAAATAGTGAATCTAGTAAAATAATATTAGATCAATATTAAGTAAGTAATAATGCAGTTGGTACATGTAAATGGCAGAAATTATGAAGATGCTGCATTGATATTTGGAAACACCACAGTGCTCATCAAATCAACACAAGATTCCTTTTCCTACAAAGTGAACTCTTGAGAATTTTCTCTTAGTGCTCTAATGGACAATTCTACACAGATTGTAAAACTATGTGTGTGAAGTGGTGTTTTATGAGCCCAAGTGTTATTAAATGTTGAACTATAAAGAAGAAAATAAAAATCACTCATAATCATATCATCCACCTAAGTCACCGTTGATGGCATTTTAGCATTGTTCTTTTTTAACATATTCTGTTCTAATTTCTCATAAGCATCCTTCAATTGTCACTTTTCACCTCAAAGAAGAAAACTGATTTCCAGATCCTTGATACAAGCCACATTTGCTTTACAAGGCAGAAACAGCATTCAGTTTTTATTATAAACTGGGCCCACACAGTCCCTCAGCCTCCCTTATTTATAATGCAGTTCAACTAGCCCTGTTAGCTGTGACAGTGAGTGATTGGCAGAAAGGATTAACTCTTTCAGGAAACTTTAACACCCACTAACCTTGCATCTCTAGCACCTCAGTGATTCTCTTAGAGTCTCCAACCCCTGCTGCAGTAGCAGAATAGGGTCCATGCTATGGACCTCCAATGTAATGAGACAAATCAAATGAGGTGGCTACTCTTGAGTCTGATTGCCTGGCCTTCCAATTTATGATCCATGCCATGCTAGCAAGTGGCTCACCCTCAGTCTCCTGTCTTATAAATGTAAATGATAGGGGCTGGCCCGGTGGCACACTGCTACAGTGCGCCGCTTGAGAGCGCGGCGGCGCTCCCGCCGAGGGTTCGGATCCCACATACAGACCGGTTCCCGCTCACTGGCTGAGTGAGGTGTGGGTGCAGCGCCGAGGGTTGCGATCCCGTTGCCGGTCCCGGTCCAGTACGGGCGCGACACTGAGGGTTGCAATCCGTTGCCGGACATGAAAAAAGACAAAAAGGAAAAAATAAATAAATAAATAAATAAAAATAAAATAAACAAATAAATGTAAATGATAACAGTAACTGTTTCAAATGGTCATTGTGAAGATTAAATGAGGTAATGTATGGAAAGTACTTAGACAGTGCTCTGTGCAAAGGAAGCATTCATTGAATATTTACTATTATCTAAAGATGTAGGGAATTACTTTGAAATTTTTAAAAACTATGCATGCAAGATATTAATATTTTCAGTGTTACATGTGAGATTCTTGATGAGTAAGCTAAAATTGAAATGCATCACCAGTAAGAATCTTGCCCCAAAATGAAGCTTCCTCATATTTTATGACTTTAACTATACACTAGGTATGATAAAAATGAAAATAGTTGAAGTCAGGTTTATTTATTCTCCAACAAATATTTTATTCAGTGTGCCTGCTGTGAGCCAGACATGTTCAAAGTACTGGGAATAAAGCAAGCAACAAGATAAGGAAGGTACTGGCCTCTTGAATATCAAATTCTCTTTGAGAAGGACAGAGCATAAACAAGAAAATAAGATAATTGTACAAAGTTCTTTAAAAGGAATAAATAGGAGATGTGATGCAGAGGAACTGGGGGAAGGATTACCTTAGATAGGGTGGTCACGGAATGTCTCTCTGAGGAGGTGACATTTGAACAGACCCCTAAATGCTGAGAAGGATAAAAAGGCAGGTCAGGGGAGAAAATTCTAGGCAGAAGAAAGAGCAAGTGGAAATGCCCTGAGACAAGTAAGTCTTGGTAACTTCTAGGAACTCAGAGGAGGTAGGGAGGGAAATGGTAGACTGAGATGAGCTGGAAGAAACAAAAAGAATTAAAATTAGGTAGGGCCAGACATCCAGCAGGGGAGGCAGAAGCTCCACAGAGAACACACGCCCTGCGGTGCCGGTGCACAACCCAGCAGGTAGGCCTCACCGCCACCAACAGACTCCATCCCCAGCCCAGCGAGTGCTTTCAGAGCAGGGAAACGTCCAGCAGGGGAGGGGGAATTTCTGCAGAAACCACGTGCCCTGCGTTGCCACTGCATGACCCAGCAGCCTGCCCGAGTGCATGCTGCTCAGAGAGGCAGCCCCCCGGAGAGGCCCAAGACCCGAGGCAACCACACACGCAAGGCACTAGTGGCCAACTGAGCAGACACTGAGGTAGCTGTACCAAATTGGAAACCCCAGCAACATCCTAGCCAGACAGCGTCAAACCAGTGGCTGTGAAACCCCCTGCCACAATGACTAAACTTCAAAGGAAAGATACCAGAAATATGAAAAATCAAGAAACTACACCAACAAAGAGTAATAACTCTCAAGCTCTAGATCCTATTAGAACAAGAAGCCCTTGAAATGTCTGACAAGGAATTTTGAGTGATAATTCTAAGGAAACTGAATGAGATACAAGAAAACTCAGCTAGACAACATGATGAAAGGAGGAAAAGTATACAGGACCTGAAAGAAGAAATGCACAAGGAAATCAATGCCCTGAAAAAGAATGTAGCAGAGCTTGCTGAACTAAAGAATTCATTCAACAAAATAAAAAACACAACAGAGAGTTTAACCAGCAGGCTTGCAGAAGTAGAAGAGAGAACTTCTGACCTTGAAGATGGGCTGTTTGAAATAACACAGGCAGACAAAAAGAAAAAAGAATTAAAGGCATTGAAAAAATCTAAGAGAGATATCAGACAACCTTAAGTGCTCAAATATTCAGATTCAGGAAGCTGAAAGATCCCCAAACGTATTCAATCCAAAAAGGTCTTCTCCAAGACATGATATGGTAAAATTGGCACTCAAAGACAAAGAGAGAATCTTAAAAGCCACAAGAGAGAAGCATCAAATCACCTATAAGGGAGCCCAATCAGACTAACATCAGACTTTTCATCACAAACCCTAAAAGCCAGAAAGGAATGGGATGAGATATTCAAAATACTAAAAGACAGATATTGCCAGCCAAGAATACTCTACTCCACAAGGCTATCCTTCCGAAATGAAGGGCAAATTGTATGTTTCTCAGACAAACAAAAACTGCAGGAGTTCACTACCACATGACCACCCTTATAAGAAATTCTCAAGGGAAATACTGGGTTTGGTACATGATAAACAAACACCACTGCCGTAAAAACTCAAGAAAAATCAAAAACCACTAGTATAACAAAAATGGCATCCATGAAGAGAAAACAAACAAACAAAAAGGCTATCTACAACCCAAGGAACCAACTAATATAGAAAACAAACAGTAAATAAGAAAGAAAGGAACAAAAGATACCTAAGATATCCAAACGAAAATCAATAAAATGTTTGGATTAAATCAACACATTACAATAACAACTCTTAACATAAAAGGCTTAAATTCCCCAATCAAAAGACACAGACTGGCTGACGGGATTAAAAAGGAGTGCCCAACTATATGCTGCCTTCAAGAGACCGACCTCACCCATGAAGACTCACATAGACTGAGTGAAAGGATGGAAAAAGACTTACCATACAAACAGAAAAGAAAAATGAGCTGAAGTAGCTATCCTTATAGCTTATAAAATAGACTTTAAACTAAAAACCATAAAAAGAGATAATGAGGGCCACTACATAATGATAAAAGGATTGATCCATCGAGAAGACATAACAATCATAAATATATATGCACCCAATGTTGGAGCAGCCAGATTTATAAAACAAACTCTATTAGACCTAAAGAAGGAAATAGACACTAATACCATAATAGCAGGGAACCTGAACACCCCACTATCAATATTGGACAGATCATCTAGGAAAAGAATCAGCAGAGAAACACAAGATCTAGACAATACTCTAGACCAATTGGACTTGGCAGATATCTACATAACATTCCATCCAACAACCTCAGAATATTCATTCTTCTCATCAGCACATGGATTATTCTCCAGGATAGATCACATGTTAGGTCACAAATCAAGTCTCAACAAATTCAAAAAAATTGGAATTATCTCATGTATTTTTTCAGACCACAATGGATTAAAATTAGAAATCAATAACAAACAAAATTCTGGAAACTATACAAACACATGGAAATT